ACACCTTTAGTTGTGGTGCCCATGGAATATTCAGGTAGAGAGGTTTAGCAAACAGTGGGGTGTTCAGGTCAACAGATCAGGAGGCTTTAGAATCATCAGCCTGGGAATTATCGTTGAAATCCCTCTTACAAATACTGAAAACTTCTGAGAGCTTGTAGTGAGATAAGAGGACCCTAGAGAAAATTCTGTACTGCTGCTCAAGACACACTTCACCAACTGGCCACCTATCCACTAATTGTTTATTAACAGTCCATATAACATGAGGATTTACTTCAGAATGTAATCAACTGCATCACTAAGCACACTGTGTATTTAAGTTTTCTTTTTAATATCAGCAAGACTTTTGATGAAGGAAGCATTGATTAATTAACATCCTGATATAAGCTCCTTATTTTGTCCCAGGTCCCTTTGAGTATCACTAGTACAAAAACACTAACATTTAAGCTTTGGGTAGAGGAAGAGGTCTCTAAGGAGACAGAAGTAATAGTGTGAGTGGTAGGATGAGAAGCAGAAGGGAAGTCAAGTTACTCTAATGGGACACAGTTTAGAAGAGCCAGTGGTCAGCCCAGTCACAGAGAGGTGAAATGAGATTAAGAAAAAATATAATTATTGCATTGGGCCTTTATAGGGTCTTCAGTAACATGTTGGGAGCCCTAACCCCTGTTTCCTCGTCTACCTTCTGCTGTCTCATCTTTATCCCACCCGTCCACCTCCTAAATACTTCTCAAATCTGTGCTTTTGCCATGCGTGCCAAAGACCTCATTGACTCTAAGTCTCCAAGTACTCTTGGATTCAGTTTTCACTTTACCTTCTCTCTTGGCTGATCAGAAGTTATTGATCATGCTCTCCTTCGGACGTACTCTTTCCTCTACAACACTCTAACCTTGGTTTTCCTCCTCACGCCCCACCCCTTCTTACACACCCTCTATGTCTTTAATTATACCTGTTTCTTTAATTACATTATGTATAGCATCAATTTCCAAACCTAAACCCAGCCCACATTTCTTTTCTGAGCTTCAGAGCAGTCTAGCAGCCTACTGGACATCTTGAATACCACAGACTCTTTTTTTTTTTTTTTAATGTTCTGTTAGTCACCACACATTACATCACTAGTTTTTGATGTAGTGTTCCATGATTCATTGTTTGCGTATAACACCCAGGGCTCCACGCAGTACGTGCCCTCTTCAATAACCATCACCAGGCTAACCCGTCCCCCCACCCCCTCCCCTCTAGAACCCTGTTTGTTTCTCAGAGTCCATAGTCTCTCATGGTTCGTCTCCCCCTCCGATTCCCCCCCTCCCTTCGTTTTTCCCTTCCTGCTATCTTTTTTTTTTTAATTTTATTATGTTATGTTAATCACCATACATTACATCACTAGTTTTTGATGTAGTGTTCCATGACTCATTGTTTGCGTATAACACCCAGTGCTCCACGCAGTACGTGCCCCCCTTAATACCCATCACCAGGCTAACCCATCCCCCCACCCCCTCCCCTCTAGAACCCTCCGTTTGATTCTCAGAGTCCACAGTCTCTCATGGTTCGTCTCCCCCTCCGATCCCCCCCCTTCATTCTTCCCCCTCCTGCTCAAGTTCAGTATGTCCAAAGCTGAATGTGAATTCTCATCTACACACTTCCCCATAGTCCCTTCTTCCTCAATCCCCATGCCTTGTGCCTTATACCTGCATCCTCCCTGTTGTTAAACCACCGACATGAACATCATCCTTGACTTCCTGCTTCCTCCTTCTTTCCCTCCCAGTGACACTTCAGATCTGTAGCTCTCCCTGTCTCCACTATATGCATGGGCCACCAACAGCCCTCACTGAATTATCCTCCTGGCTGGTCTCTGCTTCTCAGTCTTGACTTGCCTCCAGCACCCGCACCACACTGGAGCTAGAATCATCTACCCAAGGGGTAAATTTGATTTCATCCCTCCATTCTTGAATTCTTTTCCTGCCACTCCAGCCTCATCTCTGTACTCTTCCTCTGCAGAGCCAGGTCAGATTGATTTTTTTTTTTTTTCCAATTCTTTGACATCTCTCTCTCTCTCTTTCTCTTTCTTTTTCTCTTTCTCTCTCTCTCTCTCTCTCTTTCTCCACCTTCACACATGCTTATGTGCCTGCCTGGAGAACAATTTATATTCCATTTTTTACTGTTAACTTTGTTCTCCATCTTCAGGAAGCTTCTGTAGTTCTATAAATCTAAGGTGTGTGGACTTGCTCTGTGGTCTCCAGGCATTCTACCTTTCTCATGCCACTACCCTTCCTATATTGTTTTCTAATCTCTTAATTTTTGTTCATAAATCAGTGCCTTCCTCTGAATTTTATGCCCCAAGAAGACCATATCTGTATGGTACATCCTTATACTTCAAGCTCCTGGTACAGTGCCTGAAATAGTATGGGCATGCTGTCATTGTTTGTTAGATGAAATAAATGCTTTTCTGAGTATTTTCACATTCATTATCTCAGTGGGGGTAAAGTTGAATAATTTGGAAAGGATTTTAATGAAACATGAGATGTCAGTGGATTAGAAGATTAAATTACTTGTTGAGTTGTTTTACACTAATAGAAGGAAGGAGAATAGAGTCAGGAAAACTGGTTAGGAGAGTAGAAGTGTTTAATCCCACCTCATAGAACAAAGAGGAGGAGATTTTTTTAAATCTAGCTTGCACCATTTAACTTTTTTCTTCCTTCTCATAAGTTGAGGCCTATAAGGGGTGTGTGTGTGTGTGTGTGTGTGTTTTAATATTTAGAGGTATCAGATTGTCCATATTTTAGGGCTTCTTTTTCCACCTGGAAAAAGTTTAGATAAGATAATTTAAAAATCCACCTGTATACTTTGCTCACTGAACTTAGGTTCTTTGGGGGCAGGCTTACAGAAGTGAATAATCAGTTTAATTATCACTTTTATTTCAAATAAAAAGATGGAATATATTTTTAAAGATTTAATTGGGTTTTAACACAGGGATAAAGAAATATACACCAAGACCTAAAGGAATGGGTAATCCATAGGAGGAAAGCTAGGGTAAGAAAACCTCGGTAAGATGAACTACTTGGAGAGGAAAAAATTTGCCCTAAACTAGCTGGAAATCAAAGCAAAAGACATAATGCGATGAGATACATTCTTAACATCTTTTAGCTTCTTGTCAAATATGAACTTCAAAAGGTGAAGAGCTCACAATTCAAGATGGACTTCTCAGTCAAGTACTTGAAGTGCGAGTCAAATTAGATGCCAGTTGTGCCATTTGCAAAGTAAATGCTGTTTTGAAGCTGGTAAAGAGATTGGCATGTGTGGCTATCCAGGTTTGCATGGAGACGTAGTTGCAGAATTTTTAAAGAAAAAGGAGGTCAAGACTTTTTCTTCAAAACACAACTTTGAATTCACTGAGCTCCTTTGAAAGTATGTACTTCTTTGGAGTTCCTAATTCTCTATAAAACATAGAAGGCAGATGCTTGGTTTGGAACATTTTGAGGAGAGGATGCCACAGTCATCTGCCTCTGCAAGAAAAGGAACTAATGTGGATTTGGAGAATGTTAAACTTTGACCAGCCAGCACTGTAATCTGATAGTTCTACAAGATGGGTTAGCTCAAAAATGCATCCCACAGAGCTACATAAGCTGATGGTAGTGAGTGGAGTTGTTCTGGACTTGCTGGTCATAATTAACTAATAGGCTTGCAAGTTATCATGGTGGTTTTGGGGTACAAGTACCACATGACTGGTGTGTATGAGGGACTTTACTGTCTTGTTTCCTATGGCAGAGGACGTGCAAGTCTCATCTAAAAGTGATAGGAATCTGTTTAGATTTTAAAATTAAACAGGAGGTACAGGGCTGTTCCATGTGATTTAGAAATGGAATTTCCTCTGTCGAAGTCTATTCCTATCTACCCAAACTCCTAAGGCTTAAGTCCTAGACTTGGAGGTGATACTGAGACCACATGGTTTGACACATGGCTGGCCTTCTGGGTACAGTTGAGGATGATAGTATATTAACAAAGGCTACCAGATATTCACCTGTCCTTAATACTTTTCTGTTTGCTGAAATGTAATATCAACAACATCTCAATGAGAATTATCATTCCTTATACCAGCTTGAGAGATTCCAACCCATATCTAGTAGAGACATCTGGCAAAGACTTTGGGGAAGTAGAAATTGTCTAATGTGTGAACTGAAGAGAAGAAACTCTAAGGGATTTTTGTTCATTTTGGAAGCGGGGTAAGAGTCTCACCTCCCCCAACTCCACAATCACTACTCAGCCGTTCCTCTAGCTGGTTGGAGGTGGTTCTTTATTTTATAGTTTAGATACAATTATTTCGGTGATTTCTCTGAGTTACCCAGGTGAGCAATTTTAATGTGGTGTCTGTTTGGGATTTTTGGTTCAGAGACTAAGATACAGTAAGAATCTGTGATGAATGCTGTACAGAGTATGGGCATTGCCCATATATCCATTCTTCCTTATCTTGCCACTCCCTTGTTCTCACATAAAATGAGGGAGAAAAAGGAGATTTTGAAATTTTCAAAGAAAAATCTGCCTGGCGATTCGTTTTTTTCCACCCTGGAGTTGATTTTTCTTTTCTTTCTGTAAACCAGAAGCTTTTCATAGGTGAGAGAGTGGCTGGAAAGGCACATGAGTGAACCTCTCTCAGTATGGCCAGGCACTGTTTGTGGAATGAAAGAAAGACACATACATGGAAGTGGGGATGGGGATGGGGGCTTTGTCTCATCGTGGAGAACCACAAAGAAAAACTAGGCAGCTTCCTACAGCCTGCTATCTTCCACCATCAATTAAGTTCTATTCATTTCTGATCACACGTTCTTTCAAAAGAATGGATTCTTGAAATCCAGTATCTCATAAATTATTTATCAGTGGGAGTAAACAGTAACAAAAGTGAATAGAATGAAATGTGTTTTACTCTTCAGACCTCCCCATGCGTTAAAATAAGGTTGATCTTGACACCATAATAATAGAACCAAAAGATGAAAGACCTTCCTGTATTTCTACAGAGTACAGTACAATCCACAGCCCATCAACACCCATTAAAGACTCAGATTCTGATCGATTGCGTCGAGGTTCAGATGGGAAGTCACGTGGACGGGGCCGAAGAAACAATAATCCTTCACCTCCCCCAGATTCTGATCTTGAGGTATGTCATTGCCGATGCCCTGGTAAATAACAAGGTATCTTGGTAGTTAAATGGTGGTTCTATACACCTGCAGTGTAAGCGGCTGTCATCAAGATGCCCAAATGCTTTTGTTACTGCTTTCTTCTCTATATCGTAAGTAAAGCATTTTCTTTCTCTTTCCTATTTCTTATAGGTAAAAACAATTATCTCTGTTTTCTCTGCCACTTTAACTACATGTAAAGCATCTGGTTCTCTCTAATATAGTAAATTATATAATTTTGCTTGAACAAAATTCTCTTATACTGCTCTATATCATTGCCATTTTAATTGTCATACTAAAAATGCTTACTAAAATCCACTTTGAAAATTAAAGACACACTTATATATATTGAGAAAGGAAAACCTGGGATGTTCTAAACTGAAATGGTAGTCCTCTTATGAGGCCTGTTTTGGTGGAGTTCAAAAACAGGAGGGATTAAATAAAACCTTGAAGGGTAGATTTCATAGCCTTGAATCCACTGCAATTCAGTTTCTGGGTTTTGCCCAATGAAATCTGATGGTGGAAAACATGCTTATTTTGCTGAAAAGATGGAAATTTCCTAGCAGAACCTATGTGTATGAATATATACTGGTATGAATAGAAAGGGGAAGAAGACAAGTAGGCTTGGGAGGCCTTTGTGGTATCTCAAAGATGTTTTTGAAGTGAATTCCTTTAAATCCGATTCCAAATACCCCGAGTGTGTCAAGAGCATGTGTGATGTGTCTGCTTAACTTGTTAACTATCTGCAATCTGAAGATAACCAGGCAGGAGTCATACATAACCCATCAATGTGATAATAGTCCAAAGGTAACATAAGGTGAATAGATGATGTGAAGTTTTATGTTGTATGTACAGTTTTTAATACTTGGCTTGATAGAAATAAAACATAAGATTCGCTGTTTTAAAACTTCTTAATAAGCAGAGAGAAGAGGTAAGAAAAACGGAATGATTTTTAAAATGATTGGCCCCTCTCTGTCTCAAGAAGCTATAAACAGACTAGTTTTAGCTCGTTTTTTCAGAATAATGAACTGAGAATCTACTTCAGAAGTCAAAAGGATATATATTATTATTTCTTGCCCATGTTTATATTGATGTCACTAATATTATCCTCTTAAACCTCACCTGAGGTTCTACTCTGGAGAAAAGCTAGGGGATGCTCTTTGGAACAGTTGTATTTTAAAAACATAGTGAATTCAGATTTTTCCTTTGTCTTCTGTTTCAAGACTGCTTATTTATGTTGAAGTTAACTGAACAGCAGGTTTCTCAACCAAGGGAAAGACATATTGATTCGGTTCTTCCTTTGTAGAGGGTGTTCATCTGGGACTTGGACGAGACAATCATCGTTTTCCATTCCTTGCTTACTGGGTCCTACGCCAACAGATATGGGAGGGTGAGTACCAAGAGACATCAGTTTTTAATTTCTTTAAAGTAAATATGCCTAGAACTGAATTTTTTATCCAGATGGGAATGTGGTTTAACTTTAAATAATCTAAAGCATGAAAGGGAGAACAACTTAATTTATTGATATAGTCAAATATATATGTAAGGCAAAAGCATATAAATGAACAAAAGGAGGGGTTTTTTTAGGTCCTTAAAAATGAGATAAACTTTATGCAATTAAATGCATTCTTATTTCAGACCCTGATGAATAAAAGTGTTTGGATACTATTCTAGGATGAAATATTAAAGTATATAGAGACATAGAATGATATTTGGTATTTTTTTTTGTGCCATTCTTTTATTTTTTTTAATCACAACATATGCAGCAGAGCAAGTATTTTACATGTTACTGTCTTCAGTGATTAGCAGTGTTAGTATTTTATTTTCAAAACACCCATTATGAATGTCTTTATAAATCCCTTTGCTGTGAGGCTAAATTTATGTCAATGGTATGTAAAATTGGGCCTCTGAATGGCAACTGGACAAATACCTCCATGTTTGAATTGTTACAATATTTACCTTGATGTGGTAGATAAAAAAGAATATTAGAGACTACCTTCTGTGAGTAGAAATTCAACCTCAATGTTCTGCTTTTGGGCTTCTCAAAAACCTTGGAAATTCTTTTTGATCTATTCCTTGGTGGTTTCATAAACCTTTCCCACACAAAAGCTGTGTTATTTAAAGTGGCTATAGGCAATTTCTGAAGTTATCCTGTGAATAGGGTATTTCTCATTTTTTTAATCTTTAAAGAAATCATATTACAAGTCTTAACATCATTGAAGCTATTGGCTCAGAGCCTTAGGAACTGAATTCTGTGTCTTGATGACTCCAGGTGTTTATCACAATTAAATGTTAAAATTAATACCCACAAAATGCATGCTCTCATTATAGATTCTATCCAGGCACCCATTCTTTCAATAAATATGTATTGAGTGTCTGCCATGTAGGTATAGTTTGGCAGTGAAAGTTGAGGAATTATCACTTGAGCTTCACAATGCAGCTTTCCTTCTCATAACCCTGAAGTTACACCTAACCCCCCCAAAAAGGCCGGAAAAATGCACATTTGTAAGAGCAAGAATGTTTTAGAATATTCTGCCCTTTAGATTTCTATTCAGAGATAAGATACTGTAAAACACAAAATGCCCCATCTTATCGTTAGATTTTCTATGAGAAGAAGACAATGAACAAAAGTACAGTGTGATTATTATTAAGGAAAAAAAATAAAGCCATAGAATCAATCATTCAAAGAAAGTCTCTACTCTGTGGCTAACACATAATAAGGATTCAGTAAATATTAGCTTGGCATTTTTTGTATTGCTCCTCCTATGAATACTATTACTAGTATTTCCACAAAACTACTACTTAACAAACTAAGGATTAATAGCTGAAATATCAATGTGTACTTAGTAGGAAGAATCCTGAATATCTTCTTAACTGAACCATTTTAATGTTCCTCAACTAACTCCTAAGGAAGAAAACATTGAAAAGAACATGCACTTAGAACACCAGCATTTGAAAACCATCCAGAAAATGTCGAGTCTTTGAAAGCTTTCTCACTAAGGACCAGATTGCTGCAAAGAGAGTTGTCTTGATCAGGGCTCTGTTCACCACTGAAAGGGGCCCGCTTCGGGTGAGGTGGTGAGCATCCCATGACCTAATGACCTCATGTCAGTCCCTGGCCATAAATCATTGCTTTGCACATGGAATTCACACCTAACCTAGAAACCACTGGAAGCTTAGGGTTTTTCATTCAGATCCTCAACAATATCTAAACAAAACATTACAAGTACCACATTTTATTTTTAAAAGTGTCAACCATTAGTATTTTGAGGCTTCATCAAATAGTATTTTGTTAGTTGGTTTAATTTTCTCATACTAGAGCATGTGATAAAAAGTTTTATCTCCTATAATTTCCAAAATCAAATGTATATATTCTTTAGTATGGGTGATCTGAAATATTTAAATGGAAGTTAACCATTCATTTATAAGTTGACAGGGATTGAGGAGAAAGTAACCTCAGAAGGCATGATTGGGGAAGGTCTTCCTGAGCATGCATGACTTTGAACCTGAGGTCAGAATAAAAGAGGCCGGTTGATAATGTGACCATCAGCAGAAAGAGAGTTCTAAGCAGAGGAAGCAGTGAGCACGGAAGCAGGAAAAGTTTTGATGTTTGAGGGACACAGAGGCGAGTGTGGCTGAACTCAGTGATGAAGATGCAGAGTCAAGATGTGGGCTGGGATGAGGGCAAGTACAAGGCAGGTCAAGAGGGTCAATCTCATTGCACATGCCATAGGAAGTCATTGGAGGACTTCAAAGGAGGACATGACAAGATCTGATTTCGATTTTTAGATTATTTTGGTGTGTGTGGAGAACCAATGGTAAGGAAAGAGGGTTGGGGAACAGAAGGGAGGTATTAGGGGTGACCCAATGTACTAGCAGTAGAGATGAGTAGAGAGAACTCACTGGATTCTGGATTCTATTGCAAATAGAGAAATAGGAATTGCAAAGGATTTGATTTGGCCTGGTGGGCAGTAATAGAGGGGAGGGAAAAAACCATTCCCAGCTGAGAAGCTAAGCAGCTGAGAGGCTAGTCGTGTGTTTGTTGAGATGAGGAAGACATCCACTTGGACCAAGCAAGAATGTGGTTGGAAGGTGAGCCTGGGACACATCGGAATAGACAGGCCTTCAGATGACAGATTTAGCGTCAACAGTACACAGTTCAGAATCAGAAGGTCCTCAGACACTCTTAGTCTGATTTCATCCTAAATGTTTGTGAACACCTTCTTTGTGCTGAACACCTGTTGTCTCAAAGCCATGAGGCATCCCTTCTGAAGACACATTGCTGAGGATGTTGAACTGTAGCCTGAAGCATGCAAGGAAGCTTGCTTAATGTTCTCTTTATTAGAGAACTTTAAAGTCAGGAAGAATTTGCTCTCAAATCTGATAATCATGCCTTGTAAAAATGTGTGGTTCAACAAGGCTTCTTCCAAACAATAATAGCCAAGCTGATCTGAACACCTTGCCTCCCTTTCATTTCTTTCACTAAGGAGAGAAGTCTTAAAGCAGTTGAAGGGCAAGCCTTATTTCTTGGAGCATAGTTTTGGTGGTGTCCCTGAGCATTGTTAAGGGAGCATGTGGTTGGGCCTTACTCTACAGGCATATAAAGAAATGAATGCCTGACAATGTGATAGCTGTTCTGTCTCTATGGGAACCAGATACTTGAGAAGTAGCTTAGTCACAGTAGCTTAGGCAACTCAATGAGTAGGCCATTCAGTAAGGGGATACAGGATCTGGTTGATATAATGCAAAATTAGGGCATGTTACAGCAATATGTACAAAAAAGTTTGAGAATGTCCCACCTTCCATGTAATCCTAGCTGTGGGAAGCAGGCATGTTGGGCATTGTAAGGAAATGTTTTATAACAAAGGTGATGGGAACAAAAAGGGTGCTAGGTACATGACAGGTCTGGCTAGGGAAGAGAAAAGAAAGAACATATTAGCAGGAAAATGAAGTCCATGGGTGTGTTACCATAAATTAGGTTGTTGTTAATAATGTCTGTCCTCGCTTTTTTTGTTTAATGCATTTTGAAAAGTTGCTTTCAAACTAATCCATATCCCCAAGTTTCACTGAAGAAAACTAACCTTGATCTTTTTTCCATTGAATGCCCTCTTTAAATTAGACAATATAATCCTGTTGCTAATATCAGACCACATACCCCAAACTTCTATTTCAAGTAAGTATTGCGCTGATGTCCCAAGCATGGTTCCCCTCTTGAGGGAGGACTCTCCGGGATACCCATAGCCAATGGCTTCATTGTTTCACTACTTTATTTTTTATTGTAGTTTACCACCTGTGTCTCATATGGATTTGGGCTAGAACAGGTCCTAAAGACATTGAGCCTCACTCCTCATTTTACACAAAAACTTAAACATGAACACTTAAGACAGCATAAAGCTTAGCATTTTTAACTCTAGGCCCTACTTATGAGGAATTTCCTATGTGCCCAATACTCATTTAATTCAACATTAGTCCTCTTAAACTGCTATTACGAAGGCCATTTTTTTTTTTAATATTTTATTTATTTATTCATGAGAGACAGAGGGAGAGAGAGAGAAGCAGAGGGAGAAGCAGGCTTCCAAAGAGCAGGGAGCCCGATGTGGGACTCGATCCCAGGATCCTGGGATCATGACCTGAGCCGAAGGCAGACGCTTAACCATCTGAGCCACCCAGGCGCCCACGAAGGCCATTTTACAGATAAGGAAACTCAGGCTTGGAAGGGGTTATAGCCCAAACGTCTGATAAAATAAATACCAGTTTTGTTTTAATGTAGTTGAACCTTGACTATCAAAAAAACACAAAACAACAAAACAAAACCTTGAATCTGAAGCATAGTGGCCAGGGAGTAATATGTGTTAATATGTGGTTTAAATTTATGAAGTACCAATATGAGATCCACCAGTGGGAGATAGAAGGCATCGGATTTGAATTCATATAGCTCTAGACTCAAACCGAAGCTCTGACTTTTCAGTTTATTCACACTGAGCTCCAGTTTCTTCATCTATAAAACTGGTGACTTGACTTGCCAAATTGTTTTAAGAATTCAGTTGTGTCAAATATATCTTGGTAAAGCCAGGAGAAGAAAGATCTAAGTTGTGTCTTGAATTTAAAGGGCCCAGCACTCTGTCTTATTAGCAACAATAACCCAGTAATGAAAACAGCATATGTCACTGATTGATCTTGTATCTGCTGTCTAAACATTTGTTTTATAATGCACCAGACTTCTAGAAGGATGAATTTAAATCAACTAAGTCTCCCTAGTGAGTGTATAGTGTAATCACTTAGGACGTTGAGCAGAGAAAAAATTTACAGGAGTTGAGCAAGCCAATTTCATTCAAACACTCCCATTAACCAGTAAAGGTTGCTGTTCTTACCCTGTTTCAGAGCGAAACA